AAAATAAAAAGGCACTCCCCAATTATTACCCCTACGGTCGAAAAGCGAAGACGTGACCCATCGCCTCATCTCTAACATTGGAAGGACGAAGGACCTCTTTCAAATTCAGAAATCGGGAATCAATCCACTTTTTTACGGATCCGCAACTTTCCCGCCGGTTGTTAGGATTAAGTGCGCTCAAAACGAAACTTAAATTACGTTCAAAATCTCAATTTCCAATATAACTAGAATGGATTAAAAACACATAATTTAATTACTATAAAAACTTGTCTTTTATCTCTAGTTTGTTTTTACTGTGTTCTAAATTGATTATGTATATTAATTTTAGATGGAATATAGATATAGGATATTTATGATAAATATTTAGTTTGTTCGCCCTGGCTGTAAATGCAAGCCTTTGATGCGTCTGCTATAACTATTAATTAGCATGAGTAGAGGTGAATAGCCGTTGGTCAATGGCTCTGTGCACTCTGCGTTTGATAGATCGTGTGGATTTATGATTACGAGTATGAATATATATTTATATATATATATGCATATATTCACACACAAATATATATATATTCTTTGCAATTACATGGAATTCAAATACGTGGGATTACAGCAGATTTTAATATTCCGGCATCTATTGATCGACAGTCAATCAAAACAGCTTACGATTCATTTTCTATCCAATCCCTATTATTATTATTATGTCGGAAGTATGGCCTTCTTTTGTCGAACAACGTATATATTGAAAATGTATAATGTCAGATTAATAATAATACTGAAATATAAAGCGAAATTCATGTACATAAATCCTTGTTTGCTACAAAATGAAAAGTAAAATCTGTTGCGTAATTGCGCTTCTGAGGAGCGAAAGATCAGTAAAACTATTGCCGAAAATTTAAATTAAATTGCTAAAGAAACAAAACAAAAACTTATACAATAATATCAATCTTTTTTTATGTAATTTCATTATGTAAGCTTATATTTATGATTACATGTGTTTTTCAATTGTTGTCTTATGAAGCATTACTGTTGGACTATGTAATTTAAATATACGTAGACTCTTATATAAGTCTAAATAAAAAATCGAGAAAATGTAGCTTAAAAAATATGTATATAGGTTTCACTGTACTACTAAAACTACAGTCATTTTTCTTACAATTTATTTTGCTCGTTAAGCGAGGTTCTACTGTATTTCCTTATGAAATATGAAAATTTTAATATCTAATTTAAATAACAAATTTTAAAAAATAAATTCATGATGATTCTAAAATTTTGTTGCACGAATGAATGAAAATAAAATATATATATAGAAAGTCTTTTATTCGTTTACGATATTAATGCATTTTCGATAATGGTCGTCGCATTATTACATCAGCGAATGAAATAAAACCATTATCGAATTACCATCAAAACTAATGGATCCGCAAAAGGGAATCGACGAAAAAAAAAAGAAGAGAGAAATTGTATGAATCCAACATGATCGAACTGAACGCGCTCCATCGCGCAGAATAATACACTTCGCCGTTACGTAACGCTGTGCGCTTGGTGGCTTTCGCGGCCGCAATAAAACGTCACTGAAGGTGCCGATATTAAATTATCCCAAGGATTATGGAACGCTTTTTCATAGTGCATTTTATCGAAACCCGAAAGTACATTCTTTACTTTCAGATATTTGATGCATCAGTTCAACGTATTTTGCTTAACGAGTTTAATCCGTTCCAAAATTTCTGGATTTCTGGATGAAACATATTCAAAAATACACATAATATGTGTACAAAAGTTTTAAAAATGATGTAGAAGGCGCGCAATCCGGTACTTCTCTTCTCATTGTAATTCGTTTTGCGAAACGTCGCTCGCTATGCGAGGTTCCACTGTATTTGTTTTAGGGTAGAATTGTTGAAGCCAGTATTTACATCTTCCGGTTAACGGTATACTGTATATTTATTTTACTTATAAGATATTTCATTAGAATATATTAAATTTATATACAAACATTAAGTTTTGTTTATAGCAAGAATAAAAATATGTGATTATTTGCAAGGAAAACCCAAAGTATTGATTGAAGTGTACTTGGAAGAAGATTATCAAAGTCTTTTGATAGGATATTCTTCTTGAATGTGCATTCAAGTACTTACTGTAAGCGTTCTCTTTATGCCAAAGTAACCAGAAACGATATAACGTTTTCCATCTTGCCCAACTATTTACGTAACGAATTTTCCCGAATACAAGTTTATTAGTTTTCTGCGGCAATATCCAAGGCGGTGGCGAAAGCTGCGCTTCCATTTCGAAGCGGTTTCCAACCGCCAGCCCATGTGTTTACATCCGCAATATTTCCCTTCGCCGCCCACAACGAGATACAATATATAATCCCTCCCCATTCGCGCGGAAAATTTCATCTTTCTAGCAAATCATTACGATTGTCAACAATTTGAGAAAATCGTCTTTCAATAAGTAAGTTCCCGAAACCTGCTAAACGCTTACATAATTCATCGGGCTGCTTTAATTTGCAGATTAATTCTTCAAAGGGATTCGGCGTTCCTGCTTGTAAGCGTTAATATTTAGTTCTTCCCTTCAAAGCTCCGAAGCCTGGGGCGTAAATTATGTTACAGTTAAAGTTTCAGGAGATCCACGCAGCAGAACTAAGGCTTTTTCAGCAAACAGTACAATGGTTTTAGCGTTCTGTTTTGCGCATTTCGTTTTCAGAATTAGCGAAATAAAACGAACGAGGGTAAAATTGAGGCAGGTACATTTTCGTCCTAGAATTGTAAGAACTCTAACAATTACTTTTCAGGAATGAAACGTTTCCAATTTCCAATTGGTTAGTAGTAGTAGATGAATGGATGGGGGAAAATAAATAAATTGAAGCGAAGTGCAGTAATAAAGGAACGCTCGAAGTTCTGAAGGCGGTTAAAACATTCAGCGCTAACGAGAGTTACAGAACAACCGTTAAAAGTAAGCAGGAAATATCGCAAGTCATCTCGAGGTCGATTTTAGTATCGTATCCCATTGGGAACTAATCATGTGTTTTCCCGCAAATCTGTTTATTAAAATATTCCGAGCCGCCGCCATTCGAAGAAATGGAAAATCCAATAATGCTTCCATTAAAATTTAATGCAAAGCGAGTAACAAACTTTTCGTACAACTTTTTAATCATTATACTGCCGAAACCCGAAAGTTTCTGGATGCTTTCGAGAATTGTTTCAGGAGCTAATTTTTCTATTTGCACAATGCTACATTTCATAATTGTCACTTACTAAATAATAATTTACAACAGATTTTTTCAAAATATATCTAATAATATTCATATTATTTATTGAAATTTTCTTGAATGAAAATGGAAATTTAATAAAGGGTTTTCTATAAATAGAATGTATTAGATGCTATTATACAATTGTCACTACTTGAAGCGTCGAAGAAACTAAGAAGTGGCTGTAATTTCGAAGGAAATGGGGTGAAAAGAGAGAATGGAAGATGAGCGAGTGGAGTCGACGGCGTGAAGTGTTCGTCTGCATAAAATGGGGAAAAGGGGAAGAAAGAAGAAGTGAGCAATTAGAGAAAGTGTTTAATTAAGGATCGTGAACGGCGATCATGAATGGCGCAAGAGTGAAAAAAAGACGCGCGAGATTCGTACAGAATCCCGGTGCATCCACCGTAAACTTCGCAATAACCGTATTACATAAGTTCGCGAGAGCCTCATGACAGTGTATTATTAATACGTTGCTTTAATTACAGGAAACTACACTTCAAGAATCTTCCGCTGAACTTAAGTTTTCAATAATTTAGTCTAGTTGCGGATAAACCCTGAGGATTACATGATAGCTATTATATGGAAGAACAATTGTTCCGGGAAGTAATCGAAGCTGCTGATGGCTGTGAAGAGCTTTCAGTCAATTGTTGGCCCATTCCTAATTACACCTCGACAGAGGATGGAGTACGGTTTTCGCATTCCGGACCTGAAGCGGCGGAACAGCTGCGCTTTACCCACTTGTCATTCACGTTGGATAAGTAAAAGTTTCTTTTTGATTGTCCCAGAAGTGGGACGTTTTATCTCTCGCCATTTTATAGCTACACGTAGTTGTAGTGTCCCATTAATTTTACCTACTGAAACTTTCCTGAAAGTCTCTTCTTTTTTTTTCACACACAAATATTCGTTTTGATAACAAACATACTTTGAAGATTTATTACAATAATTTATATTAAGGTATAACTGAAAATACAACAAAGTAACAAAACATAAATTCTAATTTGAATAAATATGAATATAACTGTAAATCAAGAGCGATGATTTGGTATTTAGGTCTATTCTCTGGAGTAAGTGAGATGGCAAAATCAAGGATGGAAAGTTTGGAACTGAAATTTAGGGCACGAGGGCGATCGTTATATAAATTCATCATATATTTAATTATAAATTACATTTTTCTCAAACATAAAATTAGAATAAAATAATTAAAAAAATATTAATAATTACGCTTTTAATTCAACAATCTCTAAGATTGTCGAAGACTTGACTGGTAATAGCGACTCATTCACTTTGAACAGGGAACACTAAACTCGCGGAAATAAAATTATATAAAAATGAAAAGATGTAATCAATCTAGGTTAACCTTTTTTATCGCTCCTATTTATAAGGATACAACCTCTCGAAAGATAGTCAGTGATACTGCGATTCGGGTTTACTATGAAGCTGCTATACTTCTTCGTGTGCGAGCTCTTAGCCTACGGGTTGTGTTCGGAACCGGAGTGGTCTAGGCTTTGGGAGCCGATGAAGGTAAAAGAACATTTGTCCGAGGTGAAAAGCCAAATCGATTACAGGCTACCCAGATCCTATAAACTACGATCTTGAGTTGAAGCCGAACTTCGATGATTTCACATTAAAGAAAAGTTAACATCGAGAATACTAGGAATGTTACGTTTCACTCACATAATCTGCAAATACTGGACGTTGAAATAAACAATTCCTAATTGTTCATTTGGAGGATAACCTAGAGAGGGATGATAAGGGATTTGTTGAGATTTTTTTCATCAGGATTTTGAACGATAATGTTCGTGGTTTTTATAGAACTGCTGAGGTAAGGGCACTAACCTTTTGCATATTACATTGGCAAACAACGTGATTTTAGATGGTTAGCCACGACGCACTTCCAAGCGACCCACGCGCGACAGGCTTTCCCGTGCTTTGATGAACCAGCCTTCAAAGCCACTTTCGATGTGCACATAGTGCGCTCGAAAAGTTACTCTTCAATCTCCAACATGCCTTTGAAACAAAGCCAAACGTAAGGAGCCGTATCAAAGTTTACCTGTATATAACAAGCATAATTTTCAGCTTGGGTGATTACATCAGAGACTCCTTCGAGACGACGCCACCTCTGTCGATGTACCTTTTAGCATTTGTTTATACGATTTCAAAAGCATCAAATATGGAGATCACAGCGTTTAGGCCATTGAAGATGGTAGAGCGGATTTGGCCTTGACCTCTTGTAGTAAAATGCTAAGAATCCTATCGGAATTCAATACGACACCATATAGTTTAAATAAGATAAAACAAGCTGTAGTACCAATAGATAATTGGGGATTGGTTACTTACAGTGAAAAAGGCTTGTTTTATGACAAGAAAATAAAAACTGCCGCTGAAAAGCAAAGAATTATTTCAGTTATTGGGCATGAATACAGCCATCAGTGAGCCCTAGTTGGTGGAAATACTTATGGTTAAACGAGGAATTTGCTATATTCTTTGAATACTTCTCTAGCTGAACCAGATTGGAGGGTGATGGAAAAAGTGTGTGGTTGTAAGTTACCATTACAGAAGTCGATGCCTCCGAATACACAAAGCCAATTTATCATCCAGTTGGAAGCCCTTAAGAGATACAAGACATCTTTGATAGATTTGCTTATGACAAATGTAAATTATTAGTAAAATTAATAATTTTCAGCTGGAGTTGTTGAAAATATGATAAAACACTTTTTATCTACTATTACGTTTAGAAGAGGTCTTAAAAATTACTTAACCGATAGGTGAGTGCATAAAATTAATAGTGAAACGTAAACTTAATTAATCGATTTTCAGGAGATTCATGATTGTAAGCTCTAATGACCTTAATGGATTGAAAAAGGCCATGGATGAAGATGAAACGTTCTTGGATGGAATGAGCGTTTGCGAAATAATGGACACGTCGCACGCTCAAAAGGGATATCCGTTAATAACAGCAACCAGGAATTACCACGACGTAACGATTCACTTAAGACAAGTACGATCGTCTTATCGTTGAGAAAGTTAAGATAACTGTATTCTTCTAGCACAGATATCTGTCGAACGGAAATGGACCGAGCACCGATGAGTTGTATAAAGTGCCGATAAATTACGCGCTGACGGGTGATCAATTTGATTCAACGAGTCCAGTTTTCTGGTTGAAACATAAAGAGGAATTATTGAATACTCGAGCGAAAGCCACCGATTGGCTGATCCTCAATAAAAATGTTACAGGTTATTACAGGGTAAATTACGATGAGGAAAATTGGAGACTCTTAACAGAACAATTAATGGACAGACAATTGGAAGCTATAACGCCGACAAATAGGGCTCAATTAATAGACGACGCTTTCGATTTACCTCTATCTCCTGATTTGAGCTACACAATAGCTTTGAAACTGATGCAGTATTTGAAGAGGCACAGCTTCTAATACGAAAATTTCGAAGTATAAATTCAATTTTTAATTATAATCTTACCACTTCTATTGTAGTCAAACATTATTGATCTTTTACAAGCCTCATACACAAAGGACAGCTCCTTAAATGAGAATGTAGAAGATGATCTACAGCTGAAGAACAGAATAACTTTAATGTACTGGCTGTGTTATTTCGAAGTCGGGAAATGTCTAGAAGCAAGCCACGAAGCTCTCATGCGTTTCCCAGATTACGTTGATCCGAATTTGCAGAGCATTACGTTCTGTGGCGGAATGAGATTCGGTTTGGACCTGGAACGAAAATGGAATTACCTCTACAAGAAATAACAGAATGCGACTGTAGATAACGAGAGAATTCGATTAATAACTACTGTCTTGTAGCGTTCAGGCAATCTTGAACAAGTATCTACATCAATCTTTAAATACAATAAAAATAGCTATAAGTATTTTTGCATATTTAGCATTTTGGGTATGATCTTCAAAAATGACATATTCCGAAAGCTAGATAGAGTTATTATCTTTAAAGCTATTGCTTCAGAAACTTACACAGGGACTTTGATTGCTCTGGATTATATTTTGAGAATGTTTGATGATTTTGCTGCTGAGTAAATTGGATTTGAAAATTGAATGTTTCGCTGTTTCTACGAAATTTCTACTAGGATAACAAGCTCTGATCAGGAAGTTAAAGTGAGTGTATACGTTTTTATTAATTATTATTTATTTTTAGACACCAGGAGTCTTGAAGAAACGCTCAAGTTGTTCTTAACCTTAATCACAAAAATGCTTTTCGCCAATTCTATATGTGATTCAATTATAAAACATACTTGAATAAATCATATTTGAACTTGCAATTAGTATTAGTTCCATAAATTTTACTCGAAGCGCCATCTGTTTAGTAGAGGTTAAAGTTGTAGTTGCAGGTCCTGGAAGGTCCTGCGGATGCAGAGATTTATTGTGGTCCAGAGCATCCAACGCCCAAGAATAATTTGTCTCCATTCGTCAAACGAGCAAGTGGTCAGCAAGCCATTAAGAATCCTTCAAGATGGAAAGGCCATTTAATTTCTACAAGGGCGATCTTGTCTATATATTATTGAAGTCCAACGATGCCTACGAGGGTATATACATGAAGGGCTCGCATAATCAAATCCATACCACTCATAACTTTCATCATGACACCTTGAATCGCATCAAGGAGGAAGTGACTTTTTATAGGTACGAAATTGAGGAAATTACACTTATCAAGCATGCCGATTCTGATAAGAACAAGCGTATGCAGAGCAACGAGTATGAACGCTTGTATGAAATGGTCCAATGCTTCACTTTCTTGTTCTGCAAGAACAACAAGTTTAGACGTGCTATGAAACAACTCAGTCAGTTCGAGACTATTAGCGTTGTTGGAATTGGTTGTAACTACGGCAGACTCTGCAGGTTCAGCCATATCGCTATCGCTTCTTGGTGTGAGGTATACATCGTGGATTTAGCGTCTTTGGATGAAGAAATACCAGATGAGATTAAGTGGTTGATGGAAACCACCAAAATTAAGAAGGTGACCCATGACGCTAGATCTTTGATCGACTGCTTGCATTATTGCTACGACGTTAGCGTCAGGAATATATTCGATACCCAGGTAATACCACCACTACAATTTATTAAAAAACATCAAAAAGGTTTTGTTTTTATTCATAGGTTGGTGATTACATGCTCGTAAAAGAAACTCTTCCAAATGATGTAAAGACAATTAATGGCAGGACCATTAGCGATTGCCTTCAGCATTATTTGGATTTTGATAAGAAGCTCTTGGAAAAGGCATTGCGAGAATGATGAATTTAATCTAGACATTTTTATTAATATCTTTGTATTATAGGCTACTAAGAAAAACTTTCTGTATCGCAGACCATTAAGCATTGGAGATAAGACTCAGATCTCGCAACTCGCTGCCTACTTGATTCCTTTGAAGCAAAGACAGGAGGATCTGATGCTGAAAAATTTCAGAGAAGAAACTGAAAACTATGCATACAGCACCATCAACCAAGCACATAACGTTGCGTCGAAAATGCTGACCACCCCCACATACCAGCTCTAAATCTTTCAATATCATGATTATCGGTATATCATTTATGTATAAGTTATACAAAAGTTATAACTTATACTTGCTTATTTACAATGTTTATTTGCGACATTAGTCATATCTATAACTATATACATTCCTATAACGTTTCCAATTACAGGGTGTTCTTAAATGTTACATATATATAAATATACTTGAAAATTGAACTTGTATAACGCATTTAAATATACTAATAAATGCTTTAAGTATTGTTTCAAGGTTCATCCCTTCCCTATCGAGAAAATCAAGAAATTTTAACATTATATGACTTCATAATATTAAACACATATCTTGACTTTTGATAATGAAACTTCTAATATCAAATACTCTAGTTAAAGAAAATATAATTTCCAATAAATTTATGATGCAGGATTTACATAATAATAGTTGATGGACTTATACTTTTAAGATTTTGAAAAACATTGATTGAAATAATTTGTTACGGCTTAAAACTTTCCTATAATGGAAATGTATATCCATCTAAGAAGATTATAATTATCAAATCTATCAAAAAATATCTAGATAATGTTTGTTAGATCATCCTAAATTCAAATTATCATATTTTACTATGAACTATCATTAAATACTATTTATAATGTTGGACTATTCTATACATTTGATAGTAAACTATTTAATGTTGTGTAGGATTACAGGAAGTTGAAAAAGTAATAAAAGCTATACAAATGAATAAACTGTAAATTACAGATTACACGTATTACGCCGGCCCAAACCGGTCCTGACTCGCATAAGCTAGCTGTCATTTGTGTAAATTGTGCAATTGTTATTTTTTTTGTGAAAATTCTTATTAACTAATATTCAAATATAATACATGATGAATCTAAAGTGTACTAAATATTTTATTATGTTAAATAACGTGCTTTCAGTGTTGGATAAAGAATTTTTTTGCATGAGCAATATCGAACAAAAAAGTCTACAGTTTCTGTTTATATTGGAACGCTTAGGCTATGTGCATATTATAATTGTGTTTATTAAAAAAAAAATATAATCAAAGTGTGCAATTTTCGGGCGTGGCTATTGCAAAATGCAACCCTTAAAGTATTGACTAAATGCATCAATGCCATCTGTTATGGAGAGGGATGCGCGTTGACATATGTGAATATAGATGAACTTCAGATAGACATGTTTAAAAGTCATAACAATTGAAATTCAAAATCTGAAAAAGTAATTATATAAATTCTAGATATACCCAAGTATCAACCAGAGGATTCGTTGAAGTAAGAGTCATGTTTTCTACCTTTTCTGCAAATTTTAATTGATTGGAATGGGAAATTAAATGTTCCAATTGGAATTAAAATTTGGTGAAGGTAGTTGCACATTGTCCATCTTGCAACATTGAGCACCTGCTTCAGCTCGATCCAGTTCATTTGTGCAATTTCGCCATTTTGTGCAGTTCTCCTCTCAGTTGTAAACAATCTGTTGCTCTGTGCTCTCCGAGAAGATGGCAGATGAAAGAATCCACGACATCTCCGGCGAGCCCTTCGAATTCAGCAAGGGTCAAAGGCTGATCGTGTTTTCCCAAGAGGGGAGATTCGAAGGCGATTTCGTTAGTACTGTGGATGACTGTATTCGTCTCACTAACGTTATAGAGTTGGACCATCGCAGCAATGTAAGGATGCCGTTCATGATGTTTATGAGAACACAGATGCAGTATCTTCAACTTGTGGAGCCTAATTTGAAGAGAGATGAGGATGGGCTAGTTGATTACGACAATGTTCTGTCTATAAGCGAGTTTAATGAACTCGACGATCTGGTTTCTAACTACGTTTACATCAGCGAGAGGAACAGGAAGTATTACAGAGCTTACGACAACTTGTCGCATGTGGAAAACATCGGGGTTGTGGGAATAGGAAGAAATTTGGGAAGGTCTGGGATTTTAGACGTCATCGTCCTAAGTTCTTGGAGGCATATCTATATTTTTGATTTGTTCCTTATGGGTTTTGAGAAGATGCCCCGGGAGATCAGATGGTTGATGGAATCAAATGATATAACTAAGGTGATGCACGATTCGAGGCAAATCGTTGATTGCCTCCATTTTCGCTACAACGTGCAGATCGTTAACATTTTCGATACTCAGGTAAGAAACTTTGTTGATTTCTACTATGACTAACTGCTAATTATAATTTACAGTTTACCGATTACAAACTCGTAATGAAAACTATGACTGGGGAGATACCAAGAGAACTTTCCGGTAAAAATCTGAGCGAATGCCTCACTGAGTATCTTGGAGTACCACAGCGCGTCTTCGAAGAGGCTATGGTATACTTGTATATCTTTCCCTATCAAATATATAATGATATAACTTTTCAGTCTATGAAGCGTGATGTGTGGTGCAATAGACCCTTCACGCGTCGCAAGCAGTATTTGGCTTCGCAACTTGCTGCTTACTTAATAACTCTTAAAAAGAGGCAAGAAGATCTCCTACTTAGTGAGTATAAACATGAAGTTTCCAAGTACATCTACGGCACTCTGGAAATTGGAATTCACGAGGCCGGAGCCATGTTCCACTGCCCCCAATATGTAGTCTCCTAAACGTCTACAAAAAGCCTATTTATATAAGTGTCTATATGTTTATATGTATGTACAACCGTTTCACAAATTGTCTATTATATGTTTACAATTTAGAAGTATCTTTAAGGAACTATACACTAATTATTAATTCGTGTTATAGGAAAACCTATATAACTTTTCCTATATATATGTCCACAAAGAAGTCTATTTTGAAGGTATATATTTCACTTTGGTGAATATGATATGTTTAATAAATATGACGAATATTGAATTACTATTAACTTAACCAAATACTATTATAAACAATATACTCGTGTGTTTGAAAAATAAAACTTTACAAAATGCATATCTTTAGACATCTACATCTTAAACCTATACAAACTGTTACTCAATAATCAACAACTGATCCTAATTTCCTATTTGTTTCAAATAATAATACATAACTATTTATAATTGCATCGTTATCGATTTTATATCTCTAGAAATCTACTATGAAGATCTATTGGACTATATTGCAACCAGTTTGGAAGGGCACTGCAATCCGGTTAAGTATTGATTAAAATACTCGTGATGCGACATCTGGTGTTTGGGAATACTGGTAACTCTCACATAATTGGAAATGAAATGCACAATTTATTTGAAAACCAGTATATTTGCTCAACTTTTGGGGATTTCAAGGATTTGATTGATGTAGGTATTGAAAGAATTTATTTTTTTCACTACTTTTTATTGCATCTAATCCTGAAAAGCTCTACATTATTTGAACAAGAAACATATTAAAATTAGAATCTAAATTAAAATATAACCTAATTAAAAATAGAATATAACAATCAAATATTAACATATCAAATATAAGAATAGTATTTAATATTTAAATTGAGTTAAATCTTCATAATTTGTGTAAATTTTTATAAATTAATTAAATCAGATCAAAATTACTAATTTCAACATTTCTATTGAGCGAAGTTGTGTTCAAATCTTAAAAATCTTAAAATAAAGATAATCTTGTTCATTAATATTATTATTATTAAGATTATAATTATTATTTAGATTATTAATATTAATTGAATATATTTCTTGCACTTATATTAGATATAATCATGGAACTTTTTGAGTAGTAAGATTAACGGACAAGGCCCCCGATGTTAACAGCAGTCCTGATAAGCTTAGATCTCGACATAATGATTACAATCAAGGTTATATATTGTTACGTAAGCGGTTATTAGATGCGATGTTTAGAAGCTATTCATAATTAACATTTACTGAATCTATTGCAATATGATGTGCCAAATCTATTATTTTATCCTTTTAGTGCCCCTAATTACACTAGTTAACTAATCCTTGAAGATTTGAAATTACTTTTTAATTATATCTATATTACTAATTACTTATTAAACTAATATGAGAATAACTCATCTACTGTTGACTATAATTAGAACTAGATATATAATATATATATTTTTATACTTTTAGAACAGGGATAGCACACATTCTCGAAAATCGATTTTGAAATTTTGTAAACCCAAATC